CTAAAGATGCAACAACTGTCATGGATTGCTAATATGGCTACTTGACAATAAAATAAAGTTGAAAGAAAACCAATAGAACAGGAGGACCCATTGGAGGAAGTCTTTATAAAAGAATTGTCTCCACGTTTCTATGGTGGGATTTTGTCTAAAGGCTACTTTAAGCAAGGTAAGATATGCCTCATAATACAGATGTAGGATCTTAATTTGAGCCAGTTTGCTTCCGCTGGAAAATATCCTGCAGCAACAGGAAATGTGAATTATTATGTTGATTATAATTAATGACTTTTTTGTAGGGGTTGGTACATTTTTCGTTAGGGCAAATTAAGTCTGACGTTTAAAGTGTCAATTGCAAACTTTAGAAGACTTTTTAAACCTTGAATACAATACAAGTTTGCATTGTCTGCTGTAGAGGAACATTCTCAGCAACAAACGAGTGATAAAATTAAGATCCTACATCTGTATGAAGTAACTCAATTAAGGAACAAGAAAAATATAGCAAAGGTAATGATAGGCCTAACCTTCTTCTGGTAGATGGAAAGGCTTTACCAAAAACCATCTCAATTAAATGTTAACTAGTTACAAAGTAGCCTATGCCTAAATGGCAGAATGATATCATGATTATTTGCATTATTGGCCATTTCTTTTGCAAACTCCATCCCGTGCTACAGAAACACTGCTAACCAAACAACAGTGCCTGTGCACATGAATTAAAGGGTAACTACACTCAAAAAGTAAATCTTCCCAGACCTCCTGATGTGGTTTAAGCATTGTTATGGACTTAGAACATCCAATTTATCTACACAGTGCAATGTCCCCAATCACTGCCCTGGGGCATTGGAATGTTTTTTTAGACCTGAGGAAAGAGTGCCTCCTACTGGCCCTCCAACACCACTTCCAGCAACATCTGGTCTCCCAACCAGGGACCAACCCTGCTTAGCTTCAAAGGCAAGCCAGCAGTGGGATGCAGGGTGGTAAGCAAAGATGGTGGATAGATGGTGAAAACAAAGATGGTGGATAAATTAAGATGTCCCATTCGGGCCGTTTACCATTGATCACAGTTCCAGTCTGCTTAAGGACCACCATCACGGTTGACAACTCCAGTGTGTCCTCCTCCCAGGGTGCCAAGAACCTTGGCATGACGCTGGACAACACCCTGTCGTTCTCCGCTAACATCAAAGCGGTGACCCGATCCTGCAGGTTCATGCTCTACAACATTCGCAGAGTACGACCCTACCTTACACAGAAAGCGGCACAGGTCCTAATCCAGGCACTTGTCATCTCCCATCTGGATTACTGCAACTCGCTGTTGGCTGGGCTCCCTGCCTGTGCCATTAAACCCCTACAACTTATCCAGAACGCTGCAGCCCGTCTGGTGTTGACCTTCCCAAGTTCTCTCATGTCACCCCGCTCCTCCGCACACTCCACTAGCTTCCAGTTGAGGCTCGCATCTACTACAAGACCATGGTGCTTGCCTACGGAGCTGTGAGGGGAACGGCACCTCCTTACCTTCAGGCTCTGATCAGACCCTACACCCAAACGACGGCACTACGTTCATCCACCTCTGGCCTGCTAGCTCCCCTACCTCTACGAAAGCACAGTTCCCGCTCAGCCCAGTCAAAGCTATTTGCTGCTCTGGCACCCCAATGGTGGAGCAAGCTCCCCCACGACGCCAGGATAGCGGAGTCACTGACCACCTTCCGGAGACACTTGAAACCCTACCTCTTTAAGGAATACCTGGAATAGTATAAAGTAATCCTTCTACCCCCCCCCCCCCCCCCCCCCCCCCCCCCCCCCATAAAAAAAAAGTGGTTGTCCCACTGGCTATCATAAGTTGAATGCACCCATTTGTAAGTCGCTCTGGATAAGAGCGTCTGCTAAATGATGTAAATGTAAATGTAAAATGGTTCTCCCATAGGCTCCAATGCATTAGCAACTGGGTCTGGTATGAACCAGAAAAAAAGCAGCGAGTGAGATGTCTCGCTTCCTTTTCCGCCTCTGGTGAAAGTCCTCAATGGCGCTGCCAGGCTTTTGGGTAGTGCAGCTGGGATATGTGTACTATCCTGTCAGAGCTTTCGTATCCCGCCCTTTACAATGTTCTTGCTGTAAAATGTTTGGACGGGAAAAGTCGAGATGTGGGACGTGTGGGAAAGATCACTATGAAGGAGATGTTGAATGTTTAGTAGAAGAGTGGCTGAGGAGCAAAGACTTGTAACTGGGGTGGAGAACCTGAAGCGAAATCCTTGGAATGCCCGATTAGAGTGAAAGAGACTGAGGTTGGCAAAATCAGGGCAGTTGAGAGAGTCTCCTATGCGAAAGTTGTCCAAAGGGTAGAAAGGTCAAATAATAGTTTGTTTAGCTGGGCAGAGTTTGTTTAGTTGCCCATAAAAGGCAAACATTTGTAAAATATTTTAAAAGCATTGGATTGGTGTGAGAAATATGGTATCCACTCATGGGGAGAGAATTGGAATTAAGCCTCAGATGAAACGGGTAGGTAGTATTACCAGCAGTACCAATACATTTTTCATTTGAAGAAAGTGGACTGTTGTGTCATTTATAGCAATGGTGGTAAACAGCACTGCCTGTATGGAATATACTTTTATTTTGTGATTTTCTTTTCACCCCGTCCAGTTGGCGGCGACAATACACCTTTTGTATGTAGTTCGCCATAAGACCTCACCGAAGAAGAAGAAGGCTTTTGCGGTGCTAGTCCTCTATCTATCTCTATGTCTCCTTCACATCAAGCATACAGTGGACATTTTTGTCATTAAGCGAAATAAATTGCGTACGACTTTTACAGTTTTGTGGTCTCCCGTGAGTTCGTGAAAGGGAATGTCGAACGGTGAAAGATCGGTTAGTGAGGCGCCTGGGAACGGCAACATTATGGGTGAGTTCTCTGACTGTCCGTTTTAATTCATACTGGAACTTTTGCTATAGTTTGTGTCCTCGGAGTAGGTAGCTACTAAAACACTTTGCCAGAATTAGCTAGCTTGCTAATAAGTAAGTTACCCTACTAGAAAAACAACGATAGCTCGAAAATGACCGCGAGGACTGTGGCATTAGCTGTGTTTGTTCGACTAAGTGTATTTGTTCTCTAGCACACAGTTTGCTAGTACTAGCAAACGAAAACTAACTTAGGGATCTACCTATTGTTAGCTAACTAGCATTTTAAGATACAGCCAGAGAAGTTGATTACTGGCCAAATGATATACTGTGTGAATAATGTAAACTGAGTTGAGCAACTTCAGATGCCAGTTGTGGTGCTTGTGAGAAGTTGGCAACCCCAACAAAGGCGCATCATAACTGACGGTACGTTTCTAGCTAGCTACAGTACCTACAGTAGCTAACAAAACTAACGTTATCTAGCTAAGTTAGTTAACTAACTACTAGTACAGATAGAACAATGAGGTTAGCTAGTTATAAAAACGTTTGCCACTAACTAGCTAGCTAGTAAGTTGTAATGGGATAGTTGACGTCGCAGCTCGCTTGCTAGCTGTGAATGGCTGCAATTCTGAAAAGTCGATTTAGCTAGTTTAATTTCAGACGTAAAAAAAAAGTGTTGGTAAAATAATAATTAGTTAATTCAAATAGGTTTAATCAATGGTAAAGTCAATGTGGAGGAAACCTGGAGCAAAGTTGTTATGAATCTACAAACTTCCTCAAACACAACATCTAGCTAGCTAACGTTACCTACCTAATTTGAGTGTCTATCAAAATGTCAAACAAACTGTCGTCTATTCAGCATCAACAAAATGTTTTACTTGGAGTGGAGTAGAATGACTGCAGTATCTCCTTTTTAGAAAACCTAGTCCTTGTATTGGTTCACATGAGACTGGATTCATACTGTTGTACTGTACTCACATGGCAGATGCTCTGACTGAGTACCGAGTTACTCTGCCTGTCAGTTATTCCTCCATGTGACCTGTAACTGTAGTATCTGTCATGGAATGGGTTGCTGTGAGTGTAGAGGCCATCGATCCTCACCCTAGCCATTCAAACGTTTTCTCTAGTCCCTATGGAATGCATGCAATGTTATTACTTTAGCTTGAGTAAATAAATGCAGTTTCCCACCATATCTCTCTCAATTGTTATTGAACAATTGCCATCTCTCCATTATTGTTGCTAACTGTTTTTGTGTCAGTCAGTGCTAGGGGTGTCTCGGTGACCCCTGTGTTTTGTTATTCATATGAGAAATGCCATCGGGCTTTACCTGTTCTGAAAAATCCCCAGGCTCTTCATAAACAATTGATTTTCGTCATGTAATTGGATGGAAACTCTAAGCATTTCGAGCATGTCACCATTTTTGGGTTGTAGGCCTATTGTATGACATGACAGACGTATCCTGTGTACTACATGCACTACAGGCCAAGCCTTCCCCAGTGTGAAGGCATATTGTCCACAGTGACACAGCATAATAAGTCCAGTCTGTGAGTCAGTGTGTCAGATGGCTGGGCCTGGGAATGCCAGGATGTCTGTGATGACACAGACACCCCAGAGTTTGTTTAGCTGGGCAGAGTTTGTTTAGGTGCCCATAAAAGCCCCATTTTTGTATTCTTCCTCTAGCGTATTCCTTCACTCCCCCTCAAAGATTTTAAAAGCATTGGATTGGTGTGAGAAATATGGTATCCACTCATGGGGAGAGAATTGGAATTAAGCCTCTGATGAAACGGGTAGGTTAGGCCTACACGCAGGCTGAGTATCACCAGCAGTACCAATACATTTTTCATTTGAAGAAAGTGGACTGTTGTCATTTATAGCAATGGTGGTATCCTTTAGTATTTGCAAGCCAACGTCAGTGTACTGTGCTAGGCTAACCTGCTAGGCCTTGCTTTAGGGTTAGCTAAACACACCTCTTTCTAACCTCAGGCACTCAGAGGCAGACTAGCCTCACATCTCTTCCGTCAGTTTATCCACCACCAGCAAAGAAGAATAACAAATCTACTCTGTTTGAAGGGAGCATGTAGCAATGTGAGTGGGAACAGATTGTATCAGGCTATCAGTGCATGGGGAAATGGTGGTGGAAGGGCAGGCCTAAAGGAGAAGGCAGCGCTGCTTTCCTGGAGGTATGTAGTGGCCTTTGTTAAAGCAATTGTTTGTTGAGGTGAACAGCAAAGACACAGATGTCCACCACACAACGTGTTCCTCGCAGTGACCCTGGCCTTGGTGGAAGCTCTCTCTCCAACCTTGACAGTGGTATTTGAAATGTGTCATGGGAGTTGCCTTGAAAAAGACCTGGCTTCCTTTAGTAAATGTCAACAAGCCGCTTATGCCTGCTATATGAGTCAGGAAGTTGCGGTAGATGTAGCCTATGTTTCACTCCTTTCATTTTTTCATAAAAGATGAGGCTAACTTTTATGACCCTCCCCTTGGACTCACGGAAAAGTAGGGACGGCTCATTGTTTTTGGCTCTGAATTGCACATCAAACATTTCTCTTCTCAGCGCTAGCTAAGAGATCAGCATTATGATGTTGCTGCTGTCTCAGCTATGTGCTAAAGTGGTTGCCATGTGTCTGATCAGTGACAGGCACCACTGACAGTCGTACTGTACGTGACAGACGCTTCTGCTCCAGAGGAGACAGACAGACAGACAACATCAGGAGGAAGTGGCTTGGGCGATGATGCATGCTACAGTAGGCTACATCTGTCAACTTCTAACTTCCCCCTTCCCACCTGGCATTTGCAACATTGAAACCCTCAAAGACAATGAGATTGAGTGAAGGCTAGGTGAGGCAGATCCTCTTCTGTGGAAGTGGGTCGTTAATAGCCAATGAGCTGAAAAACTGTAGAGAAAGAAACAGCCTCCTGCTCTGAGCAGTGCTTTACGGCCAAAAACGGCTCCTCCGCTTAATAATCTCAAGACTTTTGGCCCAACTGTCTTGGTCTGGGATAGCCTGAGTGAGTGCTCAAATTCTTGCCACCCTGTTGTTGATGGCTTTACACTACGATGTTTGAGAGATGAAACATGTAGGAAATTGCTGTTTGTCAGTGAGGACTGAAACATGGAGTCTAGCTACTGACTCGGGATGATCTGCTCTTCGTCAGTCTCTCCAACACTGGAAGCCGTGTGAAGAGGCCCGTGGGCTGTCGGCCAATGGGATTTCATGGCTATGGGCTGGTAGCCAATTGAATCTCATTTCACATCAGCCGGTGAAAGGACTGAAGGATGTATCATCATCACCTCTCAACTCTGGGATTAACCAATGACAACTCTCATAAACTGACCTAAAATACTGTAGGAAGTTTGAGTTATTTGTAACTCCTCCAAAACTGACCCTCTGAAGTGGGCTGTAGGAGTGAGGATTGGGCTATTTGAATGCTAGGTAGGTTGACCGTGTTTTCCTCTCTCTGATGTGCTGAATAATAAGCATCATTGGCTGTCCTACTGCTTTAGCCTAAACTTGTCCATGTCATTACAATTGGCAAATATATGATTTTTCTTCTTCCCTTAACTGAGAACATTGTTTGGCTTCTGACCCCACACTCCTCTTCGGTAATGGCTGCTATCCTATTTAGGTAAAGACCCGTTATAGAGGATCTTTCATGTCACTTTACTGGCAGCCAGAGAGCTGTAAAATAATCTGAGGCTACAACCCTGTTTTCCAGACTAGACCCGTCATGAATCGTGATCCATCTCTGTGTTTTACACCCTCTCTGATAAAAAAAAGGATGTCTGAGACGTTTATGCGTGGGTTTGACTACAAATAACCTAGCCCTATAAAACATTGGTAAAATCCCTTCAAATAGAATGAGGAAACTAAGTGGAAAAAGACTGGTTATGACCTTATTTATTTGTCATACCTGTGGCAGATTGAATGACATTTTTGGTGAAAGAGATGTAGGAACTAGCATTAACCAAGCAAACCAAAATGATGTGTACCACTACCACCACCACACATCTGATTGAGTGCTATAGGCAAAATAGAGTAGCAAGACCTATCAGTATATTGGATAGTCTAGAAGTTACACAAGTGAGGTAAACTGTACCTCAGAAGTTCTGCCTTTCTGACTACTATATGAGTAGGCATGTTTCTTAGTCATGATGGCACTTGCACATTGAAACGGCGTCAAAGTGAGATTGACACCTGAGGTCCGCAGGCAGGAATGTGTTATTCTGACACAAGCTGGATGGTGGACTCATTTGTCGCTCTTCTTCTTAACTGATATACTGTATTTCTAATTTCTTTCCTTTATGGTGTGGTGCTCCTCCTGTCTACCGTGGACATCTCCTGTCATCCACCACCACCTCACTGTCAACCATCTTGACCTGCACACTCTCCAAACCAGCTGTAAGTATTATTGAGACTGATTACCTAACGTCACTCCACTGTGCTGTACCTTTAGGCTATAATATTTACTTATTTTACAATGTTAAGAGATACTTTTGGTCATGTAGTGTATGTGGACACCTGCTCGTCGAACATCTCATTCCAAAATCATGGGTATTAATATTGTGTTGGTCCCCCCTTTGCAGCTATAATTGCCTCCACTCTTCTGGGAAGGCTTTCCACTAGATGTTGGAACATTGCTGCGGGGACTTGCTTCCATTCAGCCACGAGCATTAGTGAGGTCGGGCACTGATGTTGGGTGTTTAGGCCTGGCTCGCAGTCGGCGTTCCAATTCATCCCAAAGGTGTTTGATGGGGTTGAGGTCAGGGCTCTGTGCAGGCCAGTCAAATTCTTCCACACCGATCTCGACAAACCATTTCTGTATGGACCTCGCTTTGTGCACGGGGGCATTGTCATACTGAAACAGGAAAGGGCCTTCCCAAAACTGTTGCCACAAAGTTGGAAGCACAGAATCGTCTAGAAAGTCATTGTATGCTGTAGTGTAAAGAATTCCACTCACTCACTACTGTGTCGCTCTGGATAATAGCGTCTGCAAAATAACTAAAATGTAAAAATGTCCTTTCACTGGAGCTAAGGGGCCTAGCCCGAACCATGACAAACAGTCCCAGACCATTATTCCTCCTCCACCAAACTTTACACTTGGCACTATTCATTGGGGCAGGTGGCGTTCTCCTGGCATCCGCCAAACCCAGATTAGTCTGTCGGACTGCCAGATGGTGTTGCATGATTAATCACTCCAGAGAATGCGTTTCCACTGCTTCAGAGTCCAATGGCGGCGAGCTTTACACAACTCCAGCTGACGCTTGGCATTGCGCATGGTGATCTTAGGCTTGTGTGCAGGTACTCGGCCATGGGAACCCATTTTATGAAGCTCTCGATGAACAGTTCTTGTGCTGACGTTGCTTCCAGAGGCAGTTTGGAACTCGGTAGTGAGTGTTGCAACCGAGGACAGACGATTTTTACACGTTTCAGCACTCGGCGGTGCTGTTCTGTGAGCTTGTGTGGCCTAGACATTTCCCCTTCACAATAACAGCACTTACAGGAAGTCACTGAGCTCTTCAGTAAGGCCATTCTACTGCCAATGTTTGTCTATGTAGATTGTGTGGTTGTGTGCTCGATTTTTATACACCTGTCAGCAACAGGTGTGGCTGAAATGGCCGAATCCACTCATTTGAAGGGGTGTCCACATACTTTTGTATATATATATAGTGTAAGAATGTTAGATTGGGCATATGAATTCAATTATCTGATGAATGATTGAATTCAACAAATTATCCATGTTGCTGTTTTTTTTATATTTCCTGGACCCGTCAAGTCATCAGTTTTTATAGGCCAGTGATATCCCAGCTACTGTAGCGAAATGTTAAGTGTTGGTAACCAGACTTTTGTTTAGACTTGTTACCCGCCCGGACAGTTGGGAAAAGCACTAACTGATGTTTGGTTTTGGTCTACAGCAACAGAAGCTTCTGGAAGGTTACGTGGGCTTTGCCAATCTCCCAAACCAAGTGTACAGAAAGTCCGTCAAGAGAGGCTTCGAGTTCACTCTCATGGTTGTGGGTGAGTAGAGATCTTTGCAGCCCATTTTACGTCTCCCGCTCCTCTTTTCCAAATAAGACCCCAAAGAACAGAAAAAAGAACCTGGGATTCATCTGGGAAAACAGATGGAGATTTTACTGCTGTGTAAAAAGCTCTTTGTATGAATCAGTGAAGTATGCATGAAAATTGCTGTTAGAGGCTCCATCTGCATCCCAAATGGCACCCTATTCCCTATATACTGTAGTGCACTACTTTTGACCAGGGTCCAGAGAGCTCTGATCAAAAGTAGTTTAGTATATGGGGAATAGGGTGCCATTTGGGACACAGTCCTCTGTTTGAACGATGTGGACACATCTGTGTAAGAAATGAATGTGGATATGTAATATAGCCTACACATGGCCATAGACGTTCATGTGTCTTAGGATAACTTGTCATGCATGTAAAGCGGGACTTGAACAAACCATATTTAAAACAAATGTGCTTGAGCAATGGAGGGTAGGCAGGGTTTATTTCCCCCTCTGGAATGTGTGTGAGGCGTGTAGTGTGCCTTTTGGATTGTGGGTGGGAGGTTTCCTGTAATTCCATTCATGCAGCCAGAGTTGGAGCCTGAACATCTGACGAGAGAGAGAGAGACGCAGGCAGGGTGCAGGCACCATTACATCCCTGCCATTCTCCACTCCGCTCTGTCCTCTCTGTTCCATAAGTCCTGCCCAGAGCTACAGTCCCTTCAGAAAGGATTCACACCCCTTGACTTTTTCCACAGTTAGTTGTTACAGCCTGAATTTTAAATGGATTAAATTGAGATTGTGTGTCACTGGTCTACACACAATACCCCATAATGTCAGTGGAATTATGTTTGTAGTAATATTTACAAATTAATGAACAATGCTGAAATGTCTTGAGTCAATACGTATTCAACCCTGTTGTTATAACCAAAATGTGCTAAACAAGTCACAGTAAGACTCTGTAATTGTTGCCAGTGGTGATTCTAACATGTATTGACTGAGGGGTATGAATAAGATTTCTGTATTTCATTTTCAATACATTTGCTAAAAGGTTTACTTTGTCATTATGGGGTGTTGTGTGTAGATGGGTGAAGAAAAAATAAATACAAATTCATCCATTTTGAATCCAGCCTGTAACACAACAACATGGGGAATAGGTCAAGGGGTAGGAATACTTTCAGAAGGCACTGTACAAAACTTGGTTGTACAGGAAATGGCTGTGAACACCCTAGTGAGGTCATATTCTGTCCCCTGGCCCTGTGGTGGGCAGGCTGTCGAGTCAACCCATTCCCACCTGCCTCCGGAGGAGGAGGAGGAGGAGAAGAACGAGGAGAAGAACAGGGGGAATGCCTGCCTGTTATTCCAGACCCACTGCTGTCAGTCTGAGTAGAGTTGAAGCATTCAAGTGGTCCCTCCCTGGAGTTTCCCCCTGTGCTGCGCTCGCAGGAAAAAGACAGTTATAGGTTCAATTTTGTCTGGAGCATGTAATTAGAATGGCAGGGTAATTGAAGCTGAGCTCATGTCATGCTGGAGATTCAGCATCTGATAGTAGTGCATGTTGTTTAGTCTCTGCTGCTCCGTGGGGTGTGTTTCTCTGGGTGTGTTTCGCTATGTGTGTGTTTTCTTAATTACCAGAGAACTTATGTAATATCCCTGTTTGCGATGTGAAGTGTGCCAAAGTATTTTAAAGGCACCCGCATACTAGGTTTGGTTTGCTCCTAGCAGAACTCTGCAAGGTGACGCGAACGTCTCACATACTTCTTTAAAAGACCTTCACTTGAAAAACGACAATCGTACTGTTTATCCCTCTTGAGACGCCGTATTAACAACATAGCCAGTATACACTTCCTCATAATATTCAAAATGTATCTAAGATTTATCAAGAAATCTGTAATTAGGCCTCCCGAGTGGCGCAGCATCTAAGGCACAGCATCTAAGGGATTTCCTTGTCCCATCGCGCTCTAGTGACTCCTTGTGGCGGGCCGGGCGCCTGCAAGCTGACTCTGGTCGCCAGCTGGACGGCGTTTCCTCCGACACATTGGTGAGGCTGGCTTCCGGGTTAAGCGAGCAGTGTGTCAAGAAGCAGTGCGGCTTGGCAGGGTCATGTTTCGGAGGACGCATGGCTCTCGACCTTCGACTCTCCCGAGTATGTAGGGGAGTTGTAGCGATGGGACAAGACTGTAACTACCAATTGGACATCACGAAATTGGGGAGAAAAATGGGTTAAAATAAAAACATTAACAATCTGTGATTTTGACTTTTACAGAGGAGGTCTTAGTTAAGCAATTTTACATCTAAGTAAGATGTTTGTAGTATTTCTCAAGTGAAAAAAAGCGCACGAAAACCAGTCGTCTCTCGTTGAATGACATCAAGCATTTAATTGAAGAATCCCATCCATAGTTCCCACTCCTAGGAGTAGTACTGTTAACCAATCACCGACAAACGGGCATTGATTTCGGCTACCGAACTTCGTCTTGCCTCAAGAGAAAACGTTGTGTGCACGAACAGTCAAAAATGAACAGCAACGTCACGAAATGGTCATAATATATGCACGAACTGTTTCGACTGGGAAGTAAGCATGCGACAGGCTTTAGGCTCTCTTGGTCAGAACTGATTGTCGGCAGGCCAAGTCAATGAAAGTGGGCCACAGCAGTCAGATGTTTGCGTCAGGGAGTTGACTTACTCGCTGACTCGTTAAAGGAAATTGATGGGTTTGCCAGAAGATATTTAAAGATTGTCACACGCTAGCCAGACCTATAAAGTTTTATTGTCTTTTTTCCTGTGCCCTATTTGAAGGGAAAATCCCTTTTTTCACCACACACACTATCATCTGAGGCATACTTTACCTGAACGTTAAATACAGTGAAAGCAGGATTACCTCAGCCAGTTTCTGAACAGAACCACTTTCAATTTCAGCCGTCAGTGTATTTTCTGCCCCGTGTCACTGCAGTAGAAGGCAGCGCCGTCAAATGAACTGTCTCCCTCCCTCTCTGCAATCCAAACCTTTTCCTGCTCCCCCTCCCGCCCCAGGAAGCCCCTCTCTCCTTGCATGCAGAGCAGGGCGAAGTTCCTCTGAATAAGCCTTCATTGTTGACACAGCTGCTGGAAATGTCCTTTTAAAGGAAGTGTGCTGCTGGTTGGATTGGTTGCTGATCGAGGAGGGCCACTGGCAGGCATGGGTCAGGCAGGGCTGCACTGAGAGGGTGCCAGGGCCATGGTCATGCTCTGGTCTGGTGGCACTTGAATGCTACTTTCTAGGTCCAGGTCACATAAACCAGCATAGTTCTAGCTGTACAATCACAGAGGCTTCACCTAATACTGTTAATGTGTCAGATCTCTCACATCGTTACAAACACTGCAGTGCCTCAAGACTAAGTCTATTCCATTGCCCTTTGTAGATATTCAATTGACTGGTTTTCAAACGACGACACATTTTGAGTTGGGGGTTAGGCTACAACAGTAGCATCCATGCTAACTGCTCTCCAGTTTTCCCTGTCAACCAGACCACTGCGGAGGATCCCATCCCAGTGTAGGGAGATCCCTTCCCAGGCCCCAGCTATAGCCCAGTGTAGGGAGATCCCAATTCTCATTTCCGTGACCATAGGGATTTAAGAGGCCTCTTTCTCTCTGCCTACTCCGCAAACAAATTCTGCAACTCCAGCTCTGAATAGCTTACATCAGCTCTGATATCCCTCCTTCATCCATCTCTCCCTCCCTCTCTCTCGTCTGCAAACAAGCAAACCCACCTCTGAAGTCTGAATAGACAACTTGCTCGCTGGTATCCTGCCATCCCTCTCTCTCTCCCCCACCCTCCTGTTCCCTTCCTTCACTCTATCCCTCACTCCATCCTCCCACCCAGAGAGATGTGTAGTGTTCTGGCTCCTGTCTTCTTTTCTGTGGCCATAGAGCTAAGCTTCCTCTCTCTCTGCCAATCAATGCTGCTGGATCTGAATCTCTGTATTGAACCAGCTTCACAGACATTCTGTCAGCTTATGGTTTCCCTAATGCAAGCTGACATTTTTAAGACAGTCGTATTTCAGCCCACTGTTTTCACAAGACCACAACATGTCCCCTCCCCACCTTCCACCATTCTCCACCCAGCTCTCGGTGAGAGGAGTAGGCCCTAAATCCTGACTTCCGTCCTGAAGAAATATCCACATAGATGATCATATCCACATCGTTCCTCATAACAGCCCGACCGCTAAAACATTTCCGTTGTTATTGTGAGGTCAGTGTGGCTCTAGCCCTGGCGGAAAACATTTACCATGTGAAAGAGTGTGTTGAAAGAGCCTTGTTATAAGGGATGGAGGGAGGGAGGGAGCGCGAAAGAGTGCTCTCCTTTGTGTGGTGTTTCTATCTCTCTCTCCCTCTCTGCCTCTTTCTTGCTCTCTCTTTCCTTGCACACAAGCGTTCAGTAGCTGGTTCATTGGCAGTAGTGAGTTGTAGATGGAGGCTGGGCCTAACCACTCTTCTAAAGGGCAGGAAAAACGCAGAGCACGGTTGGTGCATGCAGCAGCAGTGTGATTCGGTCCTGTGCCAGCCCAGCCTGCGCCTCCAGACCCCTTTCATCACACAGCTCCCTTTGTTCAGCCCCTTTCTTAGGCCCCCCCGTCCCCATGCCAACCATTGCTATGTATACTGTTGATGGCGTTGGCTTACCCAGACATAAGGAGGCACCTGGGATTGTTCTCTGAAAATCTGACAAAGATGGTGAAGGAAAATGTAGCCCATATACAAATTCCAGAGCATACTATTGAATGAGCGTACTATGGAATGAATATTTGCTAAAGGAAATGTTCATTGAAATACACTAAGTCAATTAAAATCATGGAACAAGGTTGGATATAGTCTCAATATACAGCATGTTGGAAAGGGAGACACAAAATGAAGTTGAACCTTTATAGTATACAGTGAGGGAAAAAAGTATTTGATCCCCTGCTGATTTTGTACGTTTGCCCACTGACAAAGACATGATCAGTCTATAATTTTAATGGTAGGTTTATTTGAACAGTGAGAGACAGAATAACAACAAAAAAATCCAGAAAAACGCATGTCAAATGTTATAAATTGATTTGCATTTTAATGAGGGAAATAAGTATTTGACCCCTCTGCAAAACATGACTAAGTACTTGGTGGCAAAACCCTTGTTGGCAATCAGAGGTCAGACGTTTCTTGTAGTTGGCCACCAGGTTTGCACACATCTCAGGAGGGATTTTGTCCCACTCCTCTTTGCAGATCTTCTCCAAGTCATTAAGGTTTTGAGGCTGAGGTCATTGTCATGCTGGAATACCCATCCACAACCCATTTTCAATGCCCTGGCTGAGGGAAGGAGGTTCTCACCCAAGATTTGACGGTACATGGCCCCGTCCATCGTCCCTTTGATGCGGTGAAGTTGTCCTGTCCCCTTAGCAGAAAAACACCCCCAAAGCATAATGTTTCCACCTCCATGTTTGTCGGTGGGGATGGCGTTCTTGGGGTCATAGGCAGCATTCCTCCTCCTCCAAACACGGCGAGTTGAGTTGATGCCAAAGAGCTCCATTTTGGTCTCATCTGACCACAACACTTTCACCCAGTTCTCCTCTGAATCATTCAGATGTTCATTGGCAAATTTCAGACGGGCATGTATATGTGCTTTCTTGAGCAGGGGGACCTTGCGGGTGCTGCTGGATTTCAGTCCTTCACGGCGTAGTGTGTTACCAATTGTTTTCTTGGTGACTATGGTCCCAGCTGCCTTGAGATCATTGACAAGATCCTCCCGTGTAGTTCTGGGCTGATTCCTCACCGTTCTCATGATCATTGCAACTCCACGAGGTGAGATCTTGCATGGAGCCCCAGGCCAAGGGAGATTGACAGTTCTTTTGTGTTTCTTCCATTTGCGAATAATCGCACCAACTGTTGTCACCTTCTCACCAAGCTGCTTGGCGATGGTCTTGTAGCCCATTCCAGCCTTGTGTAGGTCTACAATCTTGTCCAAGACATCCTTGGAGAGCTCTTTGGTCTTGGCCATGGTGGAGAGTTTGGAATCTGATTGATTGATTGCTTCTGTGGACAGGTGTCTTTTATACAGGTAACAAACTGAGATTAGGAGTACTCCCTTTAAGAGTGTGCTCCTAATCTGAGCTCGTTACCTGTATAAAAGACTCCTGGGAGCCAGAAATCTTTCTGATTGAAAGGGGGTCAAATACTTATTTCCCTCATTAAAATGTAAATCAATTTATAACATTTTTGACATGCGTTTTTCTGGATTTTTTTTGTTGCTATTCTGTCTCTCACTGTTCAAATAAACCTACCATTAAAATTATAGACTGATCATTTCTTTGTCAGTGGGCAAACGTACAAAATCAGCAGGGGAGCAAATACTTTTTTCCCTCATTGTACAAGACAAATTCCCCAAATATTTTGTGGTAAGACAGTCACTGTAACGGTATGATGACTTTGCCATCCCCTGGCTTCTCTCATCAGAAGAATCCCTGATTAGATTCCTGAAATGCAGACAATAAAATAATTTGACTGGGAGGAAAGATATTCAGCCCTCCCTCCCTCTCCTGTCTCTCTCCTTCTCTCCATCTCATGTTCAATTTAAACACTGCACAATTTACAAGTGTAAATATTGTACTATATATTGTGCCTTCCTGTATTATACTTATGATAAAATGTTTATTCTATTCTACTGAGCCATTTACTTTATGTTCGTATTCTTACCTTTTATTTCTTGTTGTTGCATTGTCAAGAAGGAACCTGCAAGTAAGCATTTCGTTGGATGGGGTATACCATGTGTATCCTTCACATACGACTAATAATACAACTTGACTTGACGCTGAGGAACGATCTGGAGATGTTGCGACTCAGTCTGGCGTGAAAACAAGGATTAGAAAAACAGTGCGAAATACACCTCTTGAAATTAATCTCTCTACCCCTCTCTCTCACTCTTCTCTCGCCCCCATTTCTCTTTATCTGCCCCCCCTCTTTCTCTAGGTGAATCTGGTTTGGGGAAGTCTACACTGATCAACTCCCTCTTCCTGACAGACTTGTATTCTCCTGAATACCCTGGTCCCTCTCACAGAATCAAGAAGACTGTACAGGTAAACACTAAGATGCCCTATCTATTTGATGTATTTATTCATGGTATATTTGAATGGGAACAGATAGAAACACAGTGAATAAACGATCACCTGATTATATGTTGCACCATAGCGCCAACTAATTTTCAACACCCTACTTGTGTTTCTCTCTAGGAATAAAACGTTATACTTCTGTCCCTTTTGTAACAGATTAGTAATCCCCGCCCCTCCCTCCTCTAACAGGAAACGACTGTTCTTTTCCAAAAGAAAATAAATATTTCAGCTCACTCGCCACATTAAAAAGCTGTTTCCCCTTTCTGTTGCTTTATGTGCAGTGTGGTAGCTAGGTAACGTGTCTCCATCCTGTCTGACTTACCCATAAGTCCCTCTGTTGCCCACAAACGGCCTGCTATTCTCTGGTAAATTATCTGATGTTGAGGCACTGCCAAGTCAGCAGGTTTTATAATGCTGGAGCCTAAAGGAATTCATACCAGTAGGCCTAACCCAGTAGGTTTGGCCATAATCTGTCTGATGCAGATCTGGGTCGTGTTCAGTGGGAATGACATAGAAGAAAACGGTCCGAAACAGGCCCTGTAATATTTTTCTCTGGGCTGTGGCCTCTTCTGGAATAGTTTAACCCTGGCATTGGCCTGGTTAACTGCTGGTACCCCAGGCTGTGCTAACACAGGTGTGCCCCAGCCAGCTCCCACCCTGCCCTTTCTGTTCTCTTGTTTTGGTTCGTTGATGTCACAGCCCTGACCCTCCCTCCACTTCATACCTGCTCTCTGACACGCTTCTGGGTTGGCCACTCAAAACCTGTTACACTCCGACAGGGTGGTATCTACTCATAACCTGGTACCACCGCTGCCCAGTCTGTTGTCTGTCTGTCTGTTTGTGAATAACAAGGCTTACAACCAGTTAATCTACTTAGACTAGGAGGAATGACTTTGACTGCAAAGATATGGGCCTCTGTAACCACACAGAATATCAGACTGACTCATTGACTGGGAAAACGAATGGTGTGCAAAACAAATAGCAACAGGGAGTTTTTGCTGGAGAGAGAACTAGTACATTTCATTATAACTGGAGTCATGCTCCTCTCCTCTCTGTGGGTGTAATAGTAGTGACTACTGAGACAGAAGTTGTTGCTCAGGTCAGGGGAAATTAGTTGTACTCGCTAAGGCAGGGAACGTTATTTCTAAAAAGGGTAACAGGGAGGAAATCGGACATCTCTGAAATGAAAATGGATGGCCCTCCCTTCAGCAAAATATATTTTACCTAATCCCTCCCTGAACGTTTGGGAAAAAAACAAGTGACCCTCCCTTATACCCAAAATAATAATTAAAACAAAGTGGATAGCAGAGAACATGTCTACCGTTTACCCTCACAGACCAGAGCCTTAGAGATGCAGTTTTAGAAACAGTTTTATGTTCTGTAAGCATTACATGGCAAAGCAGGAATTTCGATAGCGCACAGGGCTTCGGGACAGAAGGTTGTGTGTTCGCAGACCACCGTGAACAAGAGTAGGGGTGAAAGGTTATCCTGTATAGTAAAAGCATTGCATGAATCTATCAACATATTTGCAGGTCCGAGAGAAAATTGACTTTCATAAAAATGTCATGCAATTCTGTCATTTTACATATTAGCAGGATCTTTTTTAATACCACACAAATTACCGGAATTCCAGGCTAAGAATGGACAGAGAGATGGGCCTATGTGTTCATCTTATCATATTTCTCCAATGTCAAATCAGTGTCTTGTTTGCATCGAAACTGTCCCTGTTAAATAAATAATTAAATCTGACACGTCATTAGGAATCTGAGCATGATACTTTCAAAAGTTAAGCCTAACTTTCCACCCCAGACAGAGTAGGCCTACCGACGCAGGAAAATGTAAGCTTTAACTACTGGCTACTCTTCTTCCATGGCTTAACCCAATGAGAGAAGGTAACAAGTGTTTCCCTTAAAGCTGTCTGGGTTTAAACATATTGATACAGAAAGTGAATAGCTTAGTCAATTGATAGTGACAGATTACTTCCCAAGCAAAGTCTATTTCTTTGTCTCCTCTGCTATAGAAGGTTGTAGCGCAGCCTCTGAATGTCAGAGAAACTAAACAATTATATATTTCCACATATGCATCGGAGTCACGTCTTTCACAGCTTGTTTCTAGCATAAAGCACTGCATACCAAAGCGCTGTTATAGATCACTTTATATAATCGGATCGGTTTTATTTTCTTAAAATATCTTAAGCTAACAAGGGGTATGCCTGTGCTTTTTGCCATTTTCTTTAATAAAAGGAAGGCCTATGGCATGCCCTCTCATACCCCCTCTATTTGAGTCTTGGTTTTAACTTAACAGCCCTGCACTGACACGGAGGTAGGCTATTTAAAGAGTGCATGGTGGGTGGAGGAAATGACCAACAAATCTATGGATATAGCATCCTATAGCCTAATTTCGTCTGTCAAACAGGTAGACCTACCTCTTACTTCTTAAATAGGAAGAAATGGGCTCCAACACAAAGCCCTCTTGTTCTTAGTAAGTCTAATTAAAATGGAGACCGTTGAAATGAGTTATGCCTACTCTAATTGACTTACTTTCAGTACCATGAGCTGTCCATTTCTGATTGATTGTGCTGCGGCTGCTGCTTCATGTTTCAGCACCACAATGTAAGTTACTTGAATCTGGCTTATTGTGAGGTCAATAACTCAGATAAATACATCATGGGCAAGAAACATATATATTGTTTTTATCAAATCAATTATAGTAGTATCAAGCTATCAAAGTTGATCTCCGGTCCTCCTCCTCATCCTCGCTCTCCTTCTCATACTGAACAGAACATAGGTTATATCCCTCAAACTCAACTCTGGACCTTGACGCCAGTACCACTGCATTGTTTCATTGTTCCCCTCCTAATCAGAGTGATTTAGATCTGGGACACCAGGTGTAGCATAGACAGGTAATGATGGGAAAACCAGCAGGCTCTGGACTTTGTAGGGTAAGAGTTGAGTACCCCTGGGATATAGTCTAGTCTGCGCGCGCCTAATAAAAAAATATTTTGTGAAGGAGCCTTTGACTCTCCTCCTGACCTGCCACTGCAGGCCTACACAGCACAGCCATTGGTTAGGCGGCACACAAAGGTTTTGATCAGCAAGAGCAGAGCAGGCCGGGGCTCAGGGTTGGAATATCCATTGCAGTGTGTAATGCAGCCTAGTTTTATTTACACCATCCCAGCAGCTGTCTTAGAAATATAACTTTGCTCTGTGCTTCTCCGAGCATGCACTTTGTAGCCTATAAGCTATGGATAATTTGAGACCACACTAAATAGCCTATAGGCACACTTGATATTGCGTGTCCAGCGGAGATTCAGTGATGAGGGGCGACATCGGGCACACATCGAGATATATATATATATATATATATATATATATATATATATATATATATATATATATATATATATATATATATATATATATATATATATATATATATATATATATATATATATAGGGCAGACCAGGGCATACCTATAAATAGTAAAACCAGAGAAACTGATCATCTTGCAGTGGTCTCTTACTTTTTCAGAGAGAGAGAGAGAGAGAGCTCTCCTAATAAGCAACTAATTCTAAAACACAAGTATTGAAAGTTAATCAATTACAAATTACATGACCCTCCGCTGGACTAGATAAAAAATAATAATAATACTAAACCCTCCCCTTGACTGAAACTGAAAAAGCCTGACCCTCCCCCAATTTCCTCCAGGTCCCCATTCTGTACATTTCGATCCATCCCTAACATCCCTAGCTGCCTGATGGCCACTGCTGTAAACCTGTAGCCAGATGCACACATACACACGTCTTCTATTAGTCTAGTCTGATGAGGGATGAGCCCCAGTCAATCTGGGAAATCAAGTTACAACCAACCAAGGGGATAACAATCAGACCACCACACTTCCCCGTGATTTATGATACACACACACACTCACAATGTAATTTTTCATTAAGAGAAGCATTGAAATTGATGAGAGATTTTATATTTTTGTGTAGGATTATGGATTCTCCTAAACTGGTCCAAACTAGTGTTTTGCTACTGGTATGGTGGTAGTGGTATTGACATTGGGGTATGAATGGTATTAGTGATTTTATAGATATTCCCTCTCCTACTCTATTTGCCCACACGTTGAGAAATACTTTTCTTCTCCCGTCCAGTTTTATCACTGACACTGCCATGTTTCTGAATATGGAATATTCAAACGTCTGTGAAAGAAGTGTCTGTAAAACATCACCACTGCAGACACCTATTTGTAAATGTCTGTTTTGCTGAGAGAGCTGCCTTTATCTGTTTGCTGATCTCTGAGCCCAGGTTTGAATGAGCCTAATGTGAAGTTAAGAGGATTCCCAAAAATGTCCCATCCTTTTGGTTTATTCTGTTTGTCTTGCAGCTGCCTGAATGAGTTCCCTAACTCAGCCACACACACACAGCCACAGACACACACACACAACCACACGCACAAGCTCTGACTGGCGTTGGATCTCATTTAATATGTCAAGTATGGCCTCCAGGCCAATTCCTGGTGTTGAAAGCCATAAACAGCCTGCAGTGTGTGTGTGTGCACGCCATAGGATTGGCCATGCACGCGCCTCACAGCACAGAGGGGCACTCCAAACAGACTGTTTCCTGTGTTGATTGAACAGGTGTTAAACATGGGTCTCTTTTATCAGAGCTGGGCTACATGCCCCTAAATCTAATATCTCTCTGTTCCTATCTCTCCAATGTTTCTCTTACAGCCTGTTTGAGTTCACTGTGCCAATGGCACATCTTATCTTTAACCCAAACACCAGATGTTCTCGGGAGGAGTGGATTTATTTATTATTTTGTAATTTTTTGGTCAGTAAAGAGGCGTTGTTTTGTGAGGTGCTGGTTTATTTGTTTTGTTAAAGCGAATTTAGCTGTTGAGTGATTTTAGATGGCACGTAGTTCCATTCGATCATGCCTCCATATAATACTGTGCATTGCATTGACTTAGTTTTGTATTTTGGGACTGTGAAGAGACTTCTTGTTGCATGTCTTGTAGGGTACGAATGTCAGAGCTGTATGTTAGCTGATTGAATAGACAGTTTGGAATTTTTAACACAAGAAGTGACGCAGTCAACCTCTCCTCTACTCCTGGGTTGACTACCCAGGTTGTTTGTGTCTTTGTTTGTTGGCGCAGCACTGGCAGTAAAAATCCCAGTCCTTACTAAGGGTTCTGAATCTGAAGATTGAGGGAGGAAAGGAGGGAGACTGACAAGGAGAGAGCTGGAGAAAGAGAAGGGAGCGGGAGGATCTGATCTGTCTGGGTGTCACTACTACCACTACCTGGCGCCATGCCAGTTGAAGAAGAGGAAGTAGTCATAGTACTAACAGGAAGTAGTACTGAAGGTGCCAGACTTGGTTTACCGTCTCATGATGACAACACCTGATCAATGGTTAGCCTTCTAGTTTGACCTGCTTCCTCTCCTGGGCCCTCAGCATAGGTTAGGTGTGCAGCAGGAGTGCTATCTAGTTTTCAGACTTCACAGAAACATCCATCCAAGAAGGATTACCCACATTGTATTGTACCTCCCCTTTGAAGTTGCATGAAAGTGATCCCGTTTCTGTGATTCACTGCCAATAGAAACATAGCCTCTGCCTGGGTGTGTGTGGTATTCTATGTAGCTAGCTTACACCCACAGAAGCTCCAGCATTTCTCTGGACTTGTTCCCTCTCATGTGTGATTCTTCTCAACACTACAGTCTAAATCTCCACTAAGCCCAGACAGCACTGCTCTGTTTTCACCCAGCACCCGCCAATTTGTTTACCTGCGCATTACACACCCTTAAGCACTTATTAAAGTTTAAACGAGATTAGAGTGCATGTCTGTGTTTTCTCTGCTTCCTTTGGCTCCAATCGTGAGCGTTATTCCAGAGGTTTCCTGATAAACTTGGCAGGGTCAGGATCCCAGAAGGGAAGAGTAGTTAGTGGGAACTCTCTGCTTGTTTATCCTAGAGGAGGAGGAGAGGAAGAATGACTACAGCCTTTCTTTCTTTCTTTCTTTCTTTCTTTTTTACGTCTCCCTCTGTCCAGGAACCACAAACTAATGACATTTCACATAATTGTGGTGTCTTTTGTTTCCCAGTCGAGCCAGAGTGATGTGATGAAACCCAATGGAATGCATTGGTTGGGTAATGAACAACAGACCCACCAAGATCCATCCAGATCTGTTTGGAGGTCTGAAGACTGTGGGGTGATGAGGGTTATGCTATATTATGTTATTGGAGGGACAGTGCTAGCCTGGTCCCAGATGTATTCCTCCTATTCAGCCAACTCCAGTGCTCATTGCCACCAACCATAGGAGTTGGCTGAACAAATCTGGACCAGGGCAGGGCAGGCGTCTATGTCGGTTAGTTAAGAACAGATGTAGAGGGGACGAGGCTAGCGCTTAGCGTGCTAATGTCTGTCTGCCAGCCCAATGTCCTCGTGTAACACAGCTGAGCAAACCAACCGTAGCGGAGAGGAGTGTGGCGAAATGGTCAGTGTTGTGTTCCTCTTCCCTGTCTGTCTGTGAGGACGTTGTGGTCAGTCACTTAGAGGCATGGCTGTGGCATGACTCACTCTGTTGAGGAGAGAGGTAGGAACCGAACGAGAGCGGGGGGTGGGGGGATAAGAGAGTGAAAAGGAAGAGAGCGGGGGAAGGGAGAAAGGAGGGAGGGATTAGATATGTGGACAGATTATTTCGTAGATGTTTACTCAGCACTGATCCCTCTTCTCCTACCATTACACTGTTTAGTACCATCTAACTCCTTCCAGACAGGGAGGGGTCCATGTCAGTTGTTTTTGTTCATTCAGTGTCTCACACTAGCATCTGCCATTCATGACACTGTAAAGGGCGCAGTCGGTTGAAGAGCATGAATGAAACCTGTTTTGTAATGCCACTGTCAATCATCTATGCTATGATGGAGCCTGAGAAGATATCTGTAACCAGTTTTTAGTTTTGGTTACAACGCCAGGGTTGTGGGTTCGATTCCCACGGGGGGCCAGTCACTAACTGTAAGTTGCTCTGAATATTTAGCTCTATGCTAAATGACTAAAATGTAAAAAATGTAAACAGGACAGTCTAGAGAAGGGGGAGGGGAAGTGAGTGAGGAAAAGAGGGGAGAGAGAGAGAAGGAATGAGAGTGGAAGAAGGGAGAAAGTCCTACTCTGATGGTGCTTAAAGGACCAGGGTGAGGTCTATGAATATGGGGTTAGAGGTCAGGTAAAGAGACAGGAGGAGCTTAATGTGCAGTCTGATGGATTCCTGGAAATGGAAGGGTAGGTCAGGGGCAGTAAAAGGCAGCACTACACACACACACACACACACACACACACACACACACTGTGTGAACAGCCGTGTTCTAGCCAGGCCCCCAGTGTCCGGTCTGGTGCGTAGCAACCTGCGTAGCAACTTAGCGGTGCCAAAAGCCGTGGTCTGCCCTAGAAAGCCCTGGTCTGCCCTAGAAAGCCCTGGTCTGCCCTAGAAAGCCTATATAAATTATGACCGCCAGAACGGACCCTACATTTTTTTTTTGGGGGGGGGACTGTCGTTTTGGGCTCAAATTAGTTAATGATCAAGTTTGATCCCCACTGTGAATTATTACAAATTTGGACAGACAGACAGACGTGTTGTCACGCTGCCTTATAAAAAAAAAAAAAAAAAGCTGTGTGCATTCCAGCTCTGACGATTGAGTGACTCACGTCAACCGACAAATCTAGATTTACTAGCTGGAAATAAAAGAAAAAATCTAACCATGCAATTTCCCTCTCCATTGTTTTCCCTGCTGGTTAGTAGTTCAACTGTGGCTGGAGCACGCACGAACACACACACACACACACACAAGCACGAACACACACACACACAGATCCGTTCACACATGACATATCATCTGTGTTTTCAAAACATCCTTCAGAAGAGAACCCATCATGACCTGTCTATGCTACAGATAACGGTTTGGAAAAGTATGCATTGTTTCTGGGTCAAGGATGGTTGTCTAAAGTATGCATTTCATGCTTTTGAACGTAGTCTTTCAAATCAACAAAGTTAGCTATATTTTGAGAGGATGTGCGTAGATGAATTGATAAGATGATACCTGTGAAAGTGTGACTCCTGCTTTTAGTGTTCTTTCTGCACAGCCAGCTAGCCATTCTAAATGGTGTCATTATTAGTGTTGTGGCAGAACGGTGGTCTGGACACAGTGGCCTGTTCAAACAGCCGTAAGACTGCGTCCCAAATGGCACCCTATTCCCTACATAGTGCACTACTTTTGACCAGAGCACTATGGGTCCTGGTCAAAAGTAGTGCACTATATAAGGAATAGGGTGCGATTTGGGACAGATAAGTCACCCACCCAGAAAGCAGACCTACCGCCCGGCCTGGCAGGACACCTTTTTAGGTCCAACTCTGATCCCTTTCACTAGCTGACTGGAAATAGATGCTCCCCCACTAAATACCTGTTTTCTCTTTAATTACCTGTCTCTCCTTTTTTGATCCTCAAAATGTTTTGACTCATCACTGACTCAAACAGTTGTTATTTTATTTTCTCTCTCTCGCTCTCTCGCTCTCTCGCGCTCTCGCTCTCTCCCTGTCCCTTCTCTCTCGCTTTCTCTCTCCCCCTCCCTTCTCTCTCTCACCTAAATCAGCTTGACTATCACCTACCAAAACACACTAGTTGTTTTCTCTTTTATTTCCCTCTTATTTTCTTTCGGAGGTCTAGCTAAATCAGCTCTCAGGCTGTTGCTCTGTGTTAGCCGGCCAGGTGGTGGCCTGCCCACAGTGGGGCCCACAGTGGGGCTGTGTGTGGGAGAGGAAGCCTTTAGCCAGGGCCCAGCTGGTGGGCAGAGGGAGAGCAGCCGTAACCCAGCCTCGGGCCCAGACCACGGGCATTCTGTGGCGCTGTCTAAGTGGAAGGTGACGGCTCAGTTTAGCTGCCTGTGGTTAAACTGAAATGTGCTGCTCTTTGGGAAACCATGGGCTGCCGGCTGGGCTGGCTTTCTCAAAATGGTCCTACAGCAATGAAGTATGTCATCAAGTAAACAAAATGGTAGTAAGGCCGCTTATATCACTAAGTACATCCAGTTGTGATATGATGTGTGTGAAAGCATGAGGTATAGTAGTGTTTTATGTTGGGGTCTGTGTACAACTGCTAAAGCTGAGCTTGCTTTTACTGTACATACACAATGATGGCTTCCATTGCAATCTGAGCGGAACACGGCAGGCCTTCCATATGTTCCTCCTGATTTATTTAATTGAAGTGCAGCTCATCTGCTAATTACAAGTGCTGGTCTGGCTCGCCTGCTGATTTTAAAGCTCTCTGATCAGCTAAGAGGCCACTCTGCAAGCCGCTCTTTACACCCCTTACTGGACACTCCAGGTGGGCAGCCAAATACAGCTCTCTCTGGGTCTAAGGTCAAAGATCTTCTAAGACCGTGTTGCTGGATTCATCCTCACAGTCTGCCTGGCTGGCAACCTTCCACAAGCGTATCTCTATCTGTGATTTATATCCGTGATATCTGTGATATAATGCCACATTTTTTTCTACCTGGGCTTTTGTAGTTTGATGGGTAGCTAACTTCTCCGAACAGACACTTTCTAGATAAAGATGAAAGGAAAGGACTGTCAGACCTCCTAACCAAGCCCCTGAGTCTGAGCCCATCCCCTCAACAGAGGAGGAGTGCTTTGAGGTGGAGAGACTGCAAACTGTCACCATTAGTTATTATTTCTTATACACGCTATGATGCAACGCATCGGATGATTCTTTTTTCCAATGTGTCAATATGTTTGTACATGTCCCTATTCCAGCGTTTCCCAAACTTGGTCCTTGGGACCCAAAGGGGTGCACGTTTTTGTTTTTTATCAACAGTGTAGTGCTAGGGCAAAAACCAAAATGTGCACCCCTTGGGGTCCCGAGGACCGAGTTTGGGAAACCCTGCCCTATTCAAATGAACCATAAATGGGAAGAGATTGATGTAATGGTGTTTTTGGAAGTTCAACATGATTCTGTGCTGAATTTCTACATGTCTTTGTTGTAATTATTTAGTGTTCTCTACAATCTCAGGTGGAGCAGTCTAAGGTGCTGGTAAAGGAAGGAGGAGTTCAGCTTCTTCTCACCATCGTTGACACGCCAGGGTTCGGGGACGCTGTCGACAACAGTAACTGGTACGTCTGACTAGCTGACTAGCCTGCCCTATATCTCTATCTATATCTCTATCTGAATGTGTATATTCTACATTAAATGTAGACACAATGTTACCTGACATTGAGTAATGTATGTGTGCTCTGCTCTCCTATAGCTGGCAGCCAGTCATCGATCACATCGACAGTAAGTTTGAGGATTACCTAAACTCAGAGTCCCGGGTCAACAGACGGCAAATGCCTGACAACAGAGTGCACTGCTGCCTCTACTTCATCGCCCCCTCTGGACACGGGTAGGTACTGCAGCTGAAACACAACATAAAAATTCAGTCGTGAATCACAGAGTTGAAATTGTCGTGTTGCTTCTAAAAATTTTAATAATTCTTCAAGGGTTAATTGAGCATGATCTTGAGGCTCTTGAGACTGTTCCCTAACAGGGCAGACTAGACAGGGTATTGGTCACGGAAAGAAATGAGTAGTACAACTACAGTGCATTCGGAAAGTATTCAGACCCCTTGACTTTTTCCACATTTTGTTACGTTACAGCCTTATTGTTTTTTTCCCCCCCTCATCAATCTACACACAATACCACATTATGACAAAGTAAAACAAGTTTTTAGAAATGTTTGCACATTTATAAAAATAAAAAAAAACTATAAAGTTTACATAAGTATTCAGACCCTTTATCAATCAATTTTATTTTTTTTCAATCAATTTTATTTTATATAGCCCTTCGTACATCAGCTAATATCTCGAAGTGCTGTACAGAAACCCAGCCTAAAACCCCAAACAGCTAGTAATGCAGGTGTAGAAGCACGGTGGCTAGGAAAAACTCCCTAGAAAGGCCAAAACCTAGGAAGAAACCTAGAGAGGAACCAGGCTATGAGGGGTGGCCAGTCCTCTTCTGGCTGTGCCGGGTGGAGGTTATAACAGAACCATGCCAAGATGTTCAAAAATGTTCATAAGTGACAAGCATGGTCAAATAATAATCAGGAATAAATCTCAGTTGGCTTTTCATAGCCGATCATTAAGAGTTGAAAACAGCAGGTCTGGGACAGGTAGGGGTTCCATAACCGCAGGCAGAACAGTTGAAACTGGAATAGCAGCAAGGCCAGGCGGACTGGGGACAGCAAGGTGTCAGCATGCCCGGTAGTCCTGACGTATGGTCCTAGGGCTCAGGTTCTCAGAGAGAAAGCGAGAACGAGAGAATTAGAGAGAGCATACTTAAATTCACACAGGACACTGGATAAGACAGGAGAAGTACTCCAGGTATAACCAACTAACCCCAGCCCCCCGACACATAAACTACTGCAGCATAAATACTGGAGGCTGAGACAGGAGCGGTCCGGAGACACTGTGGCCCCATCCGAAGAAACCCCCGGACAGGGCCAAACAGGAAGGATATAACCCCACCCACTCTGCCAAAGCACAGCCCCCGCACCACTAGAGGGATCAAGGCCGAGTATAGCCCACAGAGGTCTCCACCACAGCACAAACCAAGGGGGGGCGCCAACCCAGACAGGAAGATCACGTCAGTAACTCAACCCACTCAAGTGACGCACCCCTCCTAGGGACGGCATGAAAGAGCACCAGCAAGCCAGTGACTCAGCCCCTGTAACAGGGTTAGAGGCAGAGAACCCCAGTGGAGAGAGGGGAACCGGCCTGGCAGAGACAGCAAGGGCTGTTCGTTGCTCCAGAGCCTTTCCGTTCACCTTCACACTCCTGGGCCAGACTACACTCAATCATATGACCTACTGAAGAGATAAGTCTTCAGTAAAGACTTAAAGGTTGAGACCGAGTCTGCGTCTCTCACATGGGTAGGCAGACTGTTCCATAAAAATGGAGATCTATAGGAGAAAGCCCTGCCTCCCGCTGTTTGCTTAGAAATTCTAGGGACAATTAGGAGGCCTGCGTCTTGTGACCGTAGCGTACGTATTGGTATGTACGGCAGGACCAACTCGGAAAGATAGGTAGGAGCAAGCCCATGTAACGCTTTATAGGTTAACAGTAAAACCTTGAAATCAGCCCTTGCCTTAACAGGAAGCCAGTGTAGGGAAGCTAGCACTGGAGTAATATGATCAAATTTCTTGGTTCTAGTCAGGATTCTAGCAGCCGTATTTAGCACTAACTGAAGTTTATTTAGTGCTTTATCCGGGTAGCCGGAAAGTAGAGCATTGCAGTAGTCTAACCTAGAAGTAACAAATGCATGGATTAATTTTTCTGCATCATTTTTGGACAGAAAATTTCTGATTTTTGCAATGTTACGTAGATGGAAAAAAGCTGTCCTTGAAACAGTCTTGATATGTTCGTCAAAAGAGAGATCAGGGTCAAGAGTAACGCCGAGGTCCTTCACAGTTTTATTTGAGACGACTTTACAACCATCAAGATGAATTGTCAGATTTAACAGAAGATCTCTTTGTTTCTTGGGACCTAGAACAAGCATCTCTGTTTTGTCCAAGTTTAAAAGTAGAAAGTTTTCAGCCATCCACTTCCTTATGTCTGAAACACAGGCTTCTAGCGAGGGCAATTTTGGGGCTTCACCATGTTTCATTGAAATGTACAGCTGTGTGTCATCCGCATAGCAGTGAAAGTTAACATTATGTTTTCGAATAACATCCCCAAGAGGTAAAATATATAGTGAAAACAATAGTGGTCCTAAAACGGAACCTTGAGGAACACCGAAATGTACAGTTGATTTGTCGGAGGACAGACCATTCACAGAGACAAACTGATATCTTTCCGACAGGTAAGATCTAAACCAGGCCAGAACTTTTCCGTGTAGACCAATTTGGGTTTCCAGTCTCTCCAAAAGAATGTGGTGATCGATGGTGTCAAAGGCAGCACTAAGGTCTAGTAGCACGAGGACAGATGCAGAGCCTCGGTCTGACGCCATTAAAAGGTCATTTACCACCTTCACAAGTGCAGTCTCAGTGCTATGATGGGGTCTAAAACCAGACTGAAGCATTTCGTATACATTGTTTGTCTTCAGAAAGGCAGTGAGTTGCTGCGCAACAGCTTTTTCAAAAAATTTTGAGAGGAATGGAAGATTCGATATAGGCCGATAGTTTTTTATATTTTCCGGGTCAAGGTTTGGCTTTTTCAAGAGAGGCTTTATCACTGCCACTTTTAGTGAGTTTGGTACACATCCGGTGGATAGAGAGCTGTTTATTATGTTCAACATAGGAGGGCCAAGCACAGGAAGCAGCTCCTTCAGCAGTTTAGTAGGAATAGGATCCAGTATGCAGCTTGAAGGTTTAGAAGCCATGATTATTTTCATCATTGTGTCAAGAGATATAGTACTAAAACACTTAAGTGTCTCTCCCGATCCCAGGCCCTCGCAGAGCTGTGCAGATCCAGGACAGCTAAGCCCTGGAGGAATACGCAGATTCAAAGAGGAGTCCGTAATTTGCTTTCTAATGGTCATGATCTTTTCCTCAAAGAAGTTCATGAATTTATTACTGCTGAAGTGAAAGCCATCCTCTCTTGGGGAATGCTGCTTTTTAGTTAGCTTTGCAACAGTATCAAAAATAAATTTTGGATTGTTCTTATTTTCCTCGATTAAGTTGGAAAAGTAGGATGATCGAGCAGCAGTGAGGGCTCTTCGGTACTGCACGGTACTGTCTTTCCAAGCTAGTCGGAAAACTTCCAGTTTGGTGTGGCGCCATTTCCGTTCCAATTTCCTGGAAGCTTGCTTCAAAGCTCGGGTATTTTCTGTATACCAGGGAGCTAGTTTCTTATGACAAATGTTTTTCGTTTTTAGGGGTGCAACTGCATCTAGGGTATTGCGCAAGGTTAAATTGAGTTCCTCAGTTAAGTGGTTAACTGATTTTTGTCCTCTGACGTCCTTGGGTAGGCAGAAGGAGTCTGGAAGGGCATCAAGGAATTTTTGTGTTGTCTGAGAATTTATAGCACGACTTTTGATGCTCCTTGGTTGGGGTCTGAGCAGATTATTTGTTGCGATTGCAAACGTAATAAAATGGTGGTCCGATAGTCCAGGATTTTGTGGAAAAACATTAAGATCTACAACATTTATTCCATGGGACAAAACTAGGTCCAGAGTATGACTGTGGCAGTGAGTAGGTCCAGAGACATGTTGGACAAAACCCACTGAGTCGATGATGGCTCCGAAAGACTTTTGGAGTGGGTCTGTGGACTTCTCCATGTGAATATTAAAATCACCAAAAATTAGAATATGATCTGCTATGACTACAAGGTCTGATAGGAATTCAGGAAACTCAGAGAGGAACGCTGTATATGGCCCAGGAGGCCTGTAAACAGTAGCTATAAAAAGTGATTGAGTAGGCTGCATAGATTTCATGACTAGAAGCTCAAAAGACGAAAACGCAATTTTTTTTTTTGTAAATTGAAATTTGCTATCGTAAATGTTAGCAACACCTCCGCCTTTGCGGGATGCACGGGGAATATGGTCACTAGTGTAACCAGGAGGTGAGGCCTCATTTAACACAGCAAATTCATCAGGCTTAAGCCATGTTTCAGTCAGGCCAATCACATCAAGATTATGATCAGTGATTAGTTCATTGACTATGACTGCCTTTGAAGTGAGGGATCTAACATTAAGTAACCCTATTTTGAGATGTGAGGTATCACGATCTCTTTCAATAATAGCAGGAATGGAGGAGGTCTTTATCCTAATAAGATTGCTAAGGCGAACACCGCCATGTTTAGTTTTGCCCAACCTAGGTCGAGGCACAGACACAGTCTCAATGGGTATGGCTGAGCTGACTACACTGACTATGCTATTGGCAGACTCCACTAAGCTGGCAGGTTGGCTAACAGCCTGCTGCCTGGCCTGCACCCTATTTCACTGTGGGGCTAGAGGAGTTAGAGCCCTATCTATGTTGGTAGATAAGATGAGAGCACCCCTCCAGCTAGGATGGAGTCCGTCACTCCTCAGCAGGTCAGGCTTGGTCCTGTTTGTGGGTGAGTCCCAGAAAGAGGGCCAATTATCTACAAATTCTATCTTTTGGGAGGGGCAGAAAACAGTTTTCAACCAGCGATTGAGTGCTGAGACTCTGCTGTAGAGCTCGTCACTCCCCCTAACTGGGAGGGGGCCAGAGACAATTACTCGATGCCGACACATCTTTCTAGCTGATTTACACGCTGAAGCTATGTTGCGCTTGGTGACCTCTGACTGTTTCATCCTAACATCGTTGGTGCCGACGTGGATAACAATATCTCTATACTCTCTACACTCGCCAGTTTTAGCTTTAGCCAGCACCATCTTTAGATTAGCCTTAACGTCGGTAGCCCTGCCCCCTGGTAAACAGTGTATGATCGCTGGGTGATTCGTTTTAAGTCTAATACTGCGGGTAATGGAGTCGCCAATGACTAGGGTTTTCAATTTGTCAGAGCTAATGGTGGGAGCCTTCGGCGTCTCAGACCCCGTAACGGGAGGAGTAGAGACAAGAGAAGACTCAGACTCAGACTCCGACTCGCTACATAATGGGGAAAACCGGTTGAAAGTTTCTGTCGGCTGAATGAGCGACACCGGTTGAGCATTCCGACAGTATTTCCCTCCAGAAGCCATGAGAAAGTTGTCCGGCTGCGGGGACTGTGCGGGGGGATTTATACTAACGTTACTATCTGTACTTACTGGTGGCACAGACGCTGTTTCTACTTTGTAGAAGCACCTTTGGCAGCGATTACAGCCTTGTGTCTTCTTGGGTATGACGCTACAAGCTTGGCACACCTGTATTTGGGGAGTTTCTCCCATTCTTCTCTGCAGATCCTCTCAAGCTCTGTCAGGTTGGATGGGGAGCGCCGCTGCACAGCTATTTTCAGGTTTCTCCAGAGATGTTTGATCGGGTTCAAGTCCGGGCTCTGGCTGGGCCACTCAAGGACATTCAGATACTTGTCCCGAAGCCACTCCTGCGTTGTCTTGGCTGTGTGCTTAGGGTCATTGTCCTGTTGGAAGGTGAACCTTCGCCCCAGTCTGAGGTCCTGAGCGCTCTGGAGCAGGTTTTCATCAAGAATCTTTCTGTACTTTGCTCCGTTTATCTTTCCCTCGATCCTGACTAGTCTCCCAGTCCCTGCCGCTGAAAAACATTCCCACAGCATGATTCTAACACCACCATGCTTCACCTGGGGATGGTATTGGCCAGGTGATAAGCGGTGCCTGGTTTCTTCCAGATGTGACCCTTGCCATTCAGGCCAAAGAGTTCAATCTTGGTTTCATGAGACCAAAGAATCTTGTTTCTCGTGGTCTGAGAATCCTTTAGGTGCCTTTTGGCAAACTCCAAGCGGGCTGTCATGTGCCTTTTACTGAGGAGTGGCTTCCGTCTGGCCACTCTACCATAAAGGCCCTGTGTAGCTCAGTTGGTAGAGCATGTTCCCTTGCAACGCCAGGGTTGTGGGTTCGAATCCCACGGGGGCCAGTATGAAAATGTATGCACTCACTAACTGTAAGTCGCTCTGGATAAGAGCGTCTGCTAAAATGACTAAAATGTAAGGCCTGATTTGGTGGAGGGCTGCAGAGATGGTTATCCTTCTGGAAGGTTCTCCCATCTCCACAGAGGAACTCTGGAGCTCTGTCAGTGACCTCCCTGACCAAGGTCCTTCTCCCTCAATTGCTCAGTTTGGCCGGCGACCAGCTCCATTTTAAGAATGATGGAGGCCACTGTGTTCTTGGGGACCTTCAATGCTGCAGACATTTTTTGGTACCCTTCCCCAGATCTGTGCCTCGACACAATCCTGTCTCAGCTCTATGGACAATTCCTTCGACCTCATGGCTTGGTTTTTGCTCTGAGATGCCCTGTCAACTGTGGGACCTTATATAGACAGGTGTGTGCCTTTCCAAATAATGTCCAATCCATTGAATTTACCACAGGTGTACTCCAATCAAGTTGTAGAAACATCTCAAGGATGATCAATGGAAACAGGATGCACCTGAGCTCAATTTCGAGTATCATAGCAAAGGGTCTGAATAGTTATGTAAATAAGATATTTCTGTTTGTTTTTTAAATGATAGATTAGCAAACATTTCTAAAAACCTGTTTTTGCTTTGTCATTATAGGGTATTGTGTGTAGATTGATGAGGGGGAAAAAATAATTACATCAATTTTAGAGTAAGGCTGTAACATAACAAAATGTGGAAAAAGGGAAGGGGTCTGAATACTTTAAGAATGCACTGTAATGTGCAGCCTAAGACTGTTTACATGTTGTTAGCTGGTCATCCACCCTCCTGCCCCTGGTGTGGAGTCAAGCTGTCACTGTTCATTTAAGCCTAGCTGCGCTTCCCGCCCCACCCTACTGGGGCTGCTGAGAGGCACACTGGGACATTTACGTAATCTGTCCTCTCCTGGGCTCACTTTGTTGGAGGCCCAGTTTCTCCTCTCTGTATATTGTCTCCAGTCCGTGCCCTGCTCTGCTCAACACTCAGCTCTCCCTGCTGTTACATTACATCTCTACGCTGGGCTACTCTGTGCTCCCCATAAACAAAGGGTCATTTGACAGGCCAGCGCTCTCTCTGTTTGGATGTCAGTGCTCCTCACCGTCTTCTCTGACCAAGTCCTTGTTCTGTTCTGCTCTTCATGTGCCTGGCCTGCCTGGCTGGCTGCTGTCTGAGGTTATCCAAGAGGACTAGCACCATATGGCTCTATTCACATTTAACATCTGCCTCTTCCTCTGTGTCCCCATGGGACTCTCTCAGCACAGCTGGACCCAGGGCAGAGAGAAAAGTGTGAATGTAGGCCTAGTGTGTGTTCACACACACTGATCTTTCAAAATGAAGACTGAAACACAATCATTCCTCACAGTGTGAAGATTCATTCTGCTCTTTTGATCTAACTCTCTGAACATAAAGTTTCATCTAGCCACAGCCAGCCAAGTCAGACCGGAGACTTGTACATGTTGGCATGCCCTTTAGCTTTTTCTTGTCTGCGTGCCAGGATTCAACGTTGTTTAGATATCCCAGCATCTCCTTTCACAAACAGACTGGAGTCTGTAGCTCTGTATGAAATACCAATGTGATGGCTGTTTAAATTAGAGCAGTTTTCAGGAAGACAGAACAGAAGAATCCTGTTCTGCTCAGTGGATTTACAGTGTGTTGTGGGCCGGCCAGATGTGCAGTTTCAGCAGCAATGCTGCTATGGAGAGGGAGATTAATTCTGGACAGGAAATGCTGTTTTTTTTAGTCCTGAGGTCAGCCAAGCTGTGAAATCTGAGTTTTTTCTCTTCTCTCTCTCCAGATTGAAGCCTCTTGATATAGAGTTCATGAAGCGGTTACATGAAAAAGTGAACATCATCCCGCTCATCGCCAAAGCTGACACAATGACTCCTGAGGAGTGCCAACAGTTCAAGAAGCAGGTATGTGTGTACATACTGTGTGTTATGGGTGACCTGTGTGTTTATGGTTTGTTTAAAAAACACGTCTTTCTCTGAATGCAGAAGTCGATAGTTTGTGAGTTGTGTGTGATTAGTAGTGTATGCAAGCTATTCCTGTGGGAGAGAACCCATGCAATAAATAAGTGATGCACAGTTGTTGCACAGAGCGAGTGTGTGTGTGTGCTGAGCACTGTTTCCTCATCCTGTCTATTGACTGACCCTTCAGCGTGAGTGAGTATTGATATTTGTGACTCGTTGGCCTAGATAGACACAACCAGAGGGGAGCAGGACTCACATGATTAAATATCATCTCGATCTCTCTCATCTTTCTCTCTTTCCTGCTTTCTCTCTCTTTGTCCCACCCTCCCCTTGCTCTCACCGTTCTCTCGCTTTCTCCTCTCTCCCTCCCCTCCTGTCTTTATAGATAATGCGAGAAATCACGGAGCACAAAATCAAGATCTACGAGTTCCCAGAGACCGACGATGAGGAGGAGAACAAGATGGTCAAGAAGATCAAGGTTTGGATTCTCCCAGTGCCCAAACACACACACACACACACACACTGCTTTCATTCTCCACCCAAGAGATGGAATTGAATATAAGAGAAAAAACTTGACAAACATGAACACACACATCTTTATTCTGATCACGGTATGTCGTGTTTACAGCCCTGCTGAAGGCATAACATAAATCCAATAAATCTAACACTAGTGTTTTTGGCTGTACTGGCCCCACCAGCCCCAGTATTGACAAGAGAAGAGACTGAGTGGTTAGTTAGCTACCATAGAGACTGAGTGGTTAGTTAGCTACCATAGAGACTGAGTGGTTAGTTAGCTACCATAGAGACTGAGTGGTTAGTTAGCTACCATAGAGACTGAGTGGTTAGTTAGCTACCATAGAGACTGAGTGGTTAGTTAGCTACCATAGAGACTGAGTGGTTAGTTAGCTACCATAGGGCCATACAGAGAAGGGATTTTCCTGCCATTTAAATCCTTGGGAGGAAGCATTTTTTCGGGTCACCTAATTCCAAACTGTAAAAAATATATATATTTATAAATAAACTGAATTAACACATTTATATAAGTATTCAGACCCTTTACTCAGTACTTTGTTGACGCACCTTTAGCAGCGATTACAGCCTCGAGTCTTCTTGGGTATGATGCTACAAGCTTGGCACACCTGTATTTGGGGAGTTTCTCCCATTTTTCTCTGCAGATCCTCTCAAGCTCTGTCAGGTTGGATAGGAACGTCGCTGCACAGCTATTTTCAGGTCTCTCCAGAGATCGGGTTCAAGTCCGAGCTCTTGTTGGGCCACTCGAGGACATTCAGAGACTTGTCCCGAAGCCACTCCTGCGTTGTCTTGGCTGTGTGTTTAGGGTCGTTGTCCTGTTGGAAGGTGAACCTTCGCCCCAGTCTGAGGTCCTGAGCGCTCTGGAGCAGGTTTTCATCAAGGATCTCTCTGTACTTTGCTCCGTTCATCTTTCCCTTGATCCTGACTTGTCTCCCAGTCCCTGCTGCTGAAAAAATCCCCACAGCATGATGCTGCCACCACCATGCTTCATCGTAGAGTTGGTGCCAGGTTTCCTCCAGACGTGACGCTTGGCATTCAGGCCAAAGAGTTACGTCTTGGTTTAATCAGACCAGAGAATCTTGTTTCTCATGGTCTGACAGTCTTTAGGTTCCTTTTGGGAAACTCCAAGCAGGCTGTCGTGTGCCTTTTACTGAGTAGTGGCTTCTGTCTGGCCACTCTACCATAAAGGCCTGATTGGTGGAGTGTTGCAGAGATGGTTGTCCTTCTGGAAGGTTCTCCCATCACAACAGAGGAACTCTGGAGCTCTGTCAGAGTGACAATCGGGTTCTTGGTCACCTCCCTGACCAAGGCCCTTGCTCAGTTTTGCCGGGCGGCCAGCTCTAGGAAGAGGCTTGGTGGTTCCAAACTTCTATTTAAGAATGATGGAGGCCACTGTGTTCTTGGGGATCTTCAATGCTGCAGACAATTTGTTGTACTTTCCCCAGATCTGTGCCTCGACACAATCCTGTCTCGGAGCTCTATGGACAATTCTTTCGACCTCATGGCTTGGTTTTTTCTATGTCTACTGTGGGACCTTATATAGACAGGTTTGTGCCTTTCCAAAGAATGTCCAATCAATTCAATTTACCACAGGGGGACTCCAATCAAGTTGTAGAAACATCAAGGATGATCAATGGAAACAGGATGCACCTGAGCTCAATTTCGAGTCTCATAGCAAAGGGTCTGAATACGTATGTAAATAAGATATTTATGTTTTTATGTTTCCAAAAACCTGTTTTTGTTTTGTCATTATGGGGTATTGTGTGTAGATTGAGAGGAAAAAACTATTGAATCCATTTTAGAATAAGGCTGTAACATAACAAAATGTGGAAAAGGTCAAGGGTCTGAATACTTTCCGAATGTACTGTACACACACACACACACACACACACACACACACTAAGTAAGCACTGTTCTCAACTGTCACTGCCATTAGAGCTGCTGTGATATCAATACACTACTTTATCTCCAGTCAATCTTCCATCCAATAAAAAAAAAAAAAAAAGGGTAACCTCGTGAATATACTTCACCGCAGCGAAGTTCACACAAAAGTTAACTTCTGTGGACTGTGTGTGTTGCCACATAGCCTTGTCTAACAGGTTTTTATTTATTTTTATTGTGTAACACTTGTCCCTCCCTCCTGCAGGATCGCTTACCCCTGGCTGTTGTTGGTAGCAACACCATCATCGTGGTCAACGACAAGCGGGTGCGAGGGAGGCAGTACCCCTGGGGTGTGGCGGAAGGTGAGGAGTAATGGGTCAGAGGTCACAGTCAGGTACTGGCCTGGACACACACACACACACACACACACACACACACACACACACACACACCAGTCTCTGGGTGTTATTCCATATTAGCACAAAGGTTGTCCTACACATACTGTGTCTATGGGTTTAACTTTGAAAGGTTTATGTGTGGAAGTAATACAGTCTATCTAGTAATACAGTCTATCTCACCCTACTATGAGGTCAATACATTATCCTGGCAACGGCACTCTGCCTATAGTTTGTGTGTGTGTGTGTTGGGGGAAGTGCATCTGCAGGTCATGTTTGACTTAGAATGACAGTTATGCTTTGCCCCTTAGCCTCACTCAATGCAAATGCTCACATTTCTAGTTCCATCTACATTTCTAGTTTCAGCTCACATAGTTGAAGTTACACAAGTATTTACATGGCTGCAAAAAGAGTACAAATGTAACACTATTAAACACTATTCCTATACTAAACATTAGATTACTAGAACCAGGTTAAGTTCAGTAGCCTCCTGCCCAACAGTTGACATTTAGAGGTATGTTTTGTTGTCAACATAGACTTATGTTTTCTCTGGCCGTGTGTGTGTGTCCGTGTGTCTTGAGTGATAAAATGCTGTCTGCTAAAACTCAGCATTATCTACTGGTGACATAATGACCATGGAATGTTCTAAACACACAAATAGAGTAGTACTTAGGTCATATTGCATACAACGAAAATGACATTTGTTAATGTCTTAAAAAATGAAAATGACCGTTGCTATGTATCAACAAGTGTAACTATTTAGTTCTACTTTCACTCAATAGAACAGCCGTTTAGATGGAGAGGTGTGTTTTGAGCAGACAGTCCTGTATCTACTCAACAGGATATGTGTGTTCAGTTTTCTTTGATGCTAGACAGACAGACAGAACGACAGGAAGCTGCAAGAGTGCCTTAGCACTCATAAAAAATTGTTCCACTACCTCAAAAACACAATTAATGCATCCGACTAAGAAATATTTTCACGCAGGAATGCAACAGCTCACCGGGAGAGATTAATTGAGAGCACTGATTTGAAAGAGGACTGGTTCACCATTTTACACGTGTCTCCTGTTCATGCCTCTGCATTGTCTTTTTCAAACTCAAACTGACTTGATGGGTACAAATTGGATATGCTCTTTTTTAATTTGAATATAACCCCATGTAATGAACGGTTGTAAATTAGTCTAGAATCTACAGCACTGGTCTTAGTAGAGTAGACATGTTTATGAAGTTTAGCTAGCTCTTCTGAACTTTAACCTCACGACCCCAGCAGTCATCACCCCAGAGCTCAAATCACGTACATACACACACACACACACACACACAAATGCACACAACACACACATACATACATACACTCTAACCCCAGAACTCCTTCATATCCCCTCTCTGTTCCCCACTGTTTTCTACCGCTGGATGAGTAAATGGTATAATCAGTTCTACCCTAAACTCTAACATTCAGATACAGCTCTTTATCTCTGTCAATGACCCGATTACAAGTCATGGTCTTTGATCTGTAATGATTTATTTTATGTGTGTGTGACTGTAGTTAAGGATAAGACAGTAGAGTTGTGCGCTCTCGACTGGATGAACTGTGCGATTACTACTACTAGAGACTACCTCAGTGGCGGTTGAATGTTACCCGCCCATGGGGAGTGAGTTTTGGAATGTAAAAAATGTTTCTGGCACCATAGAGAGGGCGGGAGATTGCAAGGCCACTCTTCAGCTATGTGATCCACTCCCTACACACAGCAGTCAGACAGAAACCTCAGGGGATTTAGTATATATGGGAGAGTATATGGGCTCCTGAGTGGCGCAGCGGTCTAAGGCACTGCATCTCAGTGCTAGAGGCGTCACTGCAGACCCTCCTGGTTTGATTCCATGCTGTAGCACAATTGATTGGGAGTCCCATAGGGCGGCGCGCAATTGGCCCAGCGTTGTCCGGGTTTGGCCGGGGTAGGTCATCATTGTAAATAAGAATTTATTCTTAACTGACTTGCCTAGTTAAATGAAGGTTAAATAAAAATGTGGCGTCTGCCACCACCATGTGGCTGCTGACAGTATTACACCCATACACTCCTCCCTGTCTATTCCCCACAGCTCTCTAGGGGAAGATCTAAATCGCATTGTCATCGCGTCCTCTCTCCTCGTCACCTTCTCAGAACCCATTGGATGAGAAAGCCAGAGGTCCCTGACCTTCTCCTCCAATGGGTTTTGCGAGGAATATGCGATTAAGATCTTACCTGGAGCTGTGCCTAGCTCTCAAGCGCTCACTCTGGCGCTTCCCTCCCACTCCTGTGGACTGCCACACCCCCCTTGGTGGGCGACCTGACTGTTCCTCTAATCTTCCTTCCTCCCTTATCTTTCCTCTTTCCTCTCTCTCTCTCTCTCTAGAGGAAGATGAGAACGAGAGATAGAGGCTAGAGCCTAGAACTAGCTCTCTACTCTCTCATCTCTATCTCTACTCTCTCTCTCTCTACCTTCTCGCTCATCTCCTCTATCTTCTCTCTCCTCTCTCTACTCTCTCTCTCTCTCTCTAGTGGAGGAATGGAGAGCAGCACTGTGACTTCACCATCCTGAGGAACATGCTCATCAGGTACCGTTATAACACACACACACACACACCTCTTCATTATGGTCATGCTCCACTGAGTGTGCTGTTTTAAATGCTGCATGAGCAGCAGCAGATGGCAGAGAGATTATGGTGCCAGTTTTCAGCGCCATGTCGTTCCTCACTGCTCTCTCTGACTGTTTAAATGTATTTTAGTGTCATTATTGTTTTTTACTGTAAAGTGTATTGCTGTGGTTAATTTTAGTTGTAAATAAAGTGATTTGATTTCAGTGGTTCTGTGTTCTTGTTCCAGAACCTACATGCAGTTTAAATAAAGTTTAATTTGATTTGATCCAGAACCCACATGCAGGACCTGAAGGACGTGACCAACAACGTCCACTATGAGAACTACCGCAGCAGGAAGCTAGCAGCCGTCACATACAACGGAGTGGACAACAACAAGAACAAGGGACCAATGACTAAGTGAGTACTAACCAAAAGTCCACCAAAGGTGTTTGTATGTGGTTCTGTTTTCCATTTCTCTCCATTCCAGGTCTTCTGTATCAGCGTGGATGAAGGGAAGGTGACGAGGCCCTGCACTAACACAATCCTCTCCCCTGATCACAGGGACTAACAGTCACCCACACACAGCTGGATCTAACACAGTCTGATAACCCTGAGCCACTGCTAATTCACAGCCAAGTACAGAGAACCTCACTAAAATGATGCACTGTTATATCACAGTAACCACCAGCATTCATTAGCTAGCGAATAGCACTCTAACGCATGGTCATCATAATATCAGCATGCTAAGTGTGTATGTTTCTGTTTGTTTTTTTAGATTTGACACAAATGAAGGCATGTAAGTGTCATTTCAGTTCTTCAAGAACCCCTTACGTTAGCTATGTTTTTACTCTCTCTCCTCTGTTTTTCCCTCTTCCTCGTACATATATCTGTGTTGTATAAAGATGCTGCTCTTTACTTTATGCTAGATGCCCCTACCAGGTCATGAAATTGATGATATCATTCTACGGCACTCTAGCAAACTGCCCAGAAATCTTCATTGAATACGTGTTGGTAGAATGCTCTCCAATAGTCTTCCTGGAAAATCGTATTTGTGGTCCTGTGATTAGGCTCTTGCTTTCTTCGTGAGCTTCACTCAGCATCCGTACCAGTAGAGCTAGTTGGTGACTTGTTGGTGACGTTCACTAACTCAGCGACGCAATGGCTTGGCTTTACTAACATAGACAGAAATGGCTATTGAATCGCTGGGTCTTCCACATCCAGGGATCTTCCTCTCCCCTGCTCCTCCTCATCCTCCTCCAGGCATAAGTGTATGCAACAGAGATGGTGACAGGAATTTCCACCCTGGCCCAAAGTCTGAGTTTGACTACTCTGGGCTAGGGCTGGCGTGCAAGGCTTTAGCTTGATGGATGTTGTGTGTGTACGTGCCTGAACCCTGCAGGAGTCCCCTGGCCCAGATGGAGGAGGAGAGGAGGGAGCATGTGGCCAAGATGAAGAAGATGGAGATGGAAATGGAACAGGTGTTTGAGATGAAGGTCAAGGAGAAGATCCAGAAGCTCAAAGACTCTGAGCAAGAGGTACTGGAACCTAACAGAACACCTTCACACAAATCACTGAAAATACTCCATTTGTGTGTCCCTTGTTTATTCATTCATTTTCCATAGAGCAATCTCACTAAAAAGACACACCACAATTTTGAATGGTTACATTTTAATTTAATTTATTAACAGAGAAATAGATAATAGGTCTTATTTTACTTTACATTACTACTGCAAAATGCATCATTAGTAATTCAACATGGGTACAGTCCATAGAGGGCTTGAGCTGTCAATCAGAGGATGATTCAGAGGCAGACAGGAAGCCCTCAGAATGGCTTCCAGTTTCTCATCAGAAAAGAGACACTGCAGGTCACTCCTCCCACTCCAAAGCCTTTCTCCTCTCATGCTGCATGATTCTGTCCATTGTCTATCTCACTGTTGCTCTGTAAAAGAGAAACATACTCCTCACCTCCGTGTACCAGTCAACCAGACGGTTCTGCTCCTGCTCAGACAGGTGCTAGCTGTGTTCAAGGAGCATGGCCACCTGTCTGAGCCGGGACGTCCAGTACGGCTCACGCTGCCAGAAACCGGGCTGTCCCCCTCAACCTCTGCTATCCATGATGCCATCCATGGTACAGCCTGGACAAATTGCTGAATGAAGTCACTCATTTTTGAGAAATGAATCAAGCTAAGATAGGAGAAACATGTCACACGTCTAGTCTTGGGGTGTTGCCACCAATCTGAGTTCCAAATCAACATTGGCACCTTACAACCAAACATTCTAAATTCAAAACATTCCACTGAAGTTGCTCTATTTAAATGTGATATCATCATATTCAAATGTCAATGTATTCTTATGATTTAGAATCACCAAGGGAATAACTGAACGCTTTCAAGTCATCACCAACTCTGATTCTTAGCAACAGATGTGATGAAATGTTGTTTTAATATGGTCCTAGCTGTGATTACATCATACTCAGTCACACACACACACACACATACTGTATATGCGTGCACGTGCACACAAGAATATAACACACAAACATATATATACACACACAACTCCAGCCATGCAAATGGTGCAAACTGTCCTGTATCCTGTCTGCAGCTCCAGCGACGCCACGAGCAGATGAAGAAGAACCTGGAGGCCCAGCACAAGGAGCTGGAGGAGAAGAGATGCCAGCTGGAGGATGAGAAGAGCCACTGGGAGGCGCAGCAGAGGGTGCTGGAACAACAGAAACTAGACACCTCCAGGTACAACACACTACTACAACACATACATTTCTATTGAACAGTATTACATGGAGTCAACCATGAACAATTGTTCAACCTACAGTGGGGGGAAAAAGTATTTAGTCAGCCACCAATTGTGCAAGTTCTCCCACTTAAAAAGATGAGAGGCCTGTAATTTTCATCATAGGTACACGTCAACTATGACAGACAAATTGAGAAAACAAATTCCAGAAAATCACATTGTAGGATTTTTAATGAATTTATTTGCAAATTATGGTGGAAAATAAGTATTTGGTCACCTACAAACAAGCAAGATTTCTGGCTCTCACAGACCTGTAACTTCTTCTTTAAGAGGCTCCTCTGTCCTCCACTCGTTACCTGTATTAATGGCACCTGTTTGAACTTGTTATCAGTATAAAAGACACCTGTCCACAACCTCAAACAGTCACACTCCAAACTCCACAATGGCCAAGACCAAAGAGCTGTCAAAGGACACCAGAAACAAAATTGTAGACCTGCACCAGGCTGGGAAGACTGAATCTGCAATAGGTAAGCAGCTTGGTTTGAAGAAATCAACTGTGGGAGCAATTATTCGGAAATGGAAGACATACAAGACCACTGATAATCTCCCTCGATCTGGGGCTCCACGCAAGATCTCACCCCGTGGGGTCAAAATGATCACAAGAACGGTGAGCAAAAATCCCAGAACCACACGGGGGGACCTAGTGAATGACCTGCAGAGAGCTGGGACCAAAGTAACAAAGCCTACCATCAGTAACACACTACGCCGCCAGGGACTCAAATACTGCAGTGCCAGACGTGTCCCCCTGCTTAAGCCAGTACATGTCCAGGCCCGTCTGAAGTTTGCTAGAGTGCATTTGGATGATCCAGAAGAGGATTGGGAGAATGTCATATGGTCAGATGAAACCAAAATATAACTTTTTGGTAAAAACTCAACTCGTCGTGTTTGGAGGACAAAGAATGCTGAGTTGCATCCAAAGAACACCATACCTACTGTGAAGCATGGGGGTGGAAACATCATGCTTTGGGGCTGTTTTTCTGCAAAGGGACCAGGACGACTGATCCGTGTAAAGGAAAGAATGAATAGGGCCATGTATTGTGAGATTTTGAGTGAAAACCTCCTTCCATCAGGAAGGGCATTGAAGATGAAACGTGGCTGGGTCTTTCAGCATGACAATGATCCTAAACACACCGCCCGGGCAACGAAGGTCTCCAGTCTCCAGATCTCAACCCCATAGAAAATCTTTGGAGGGAGTTGAAAGTCCGTGTTGCCCAGCGACAGCCCCAAAACATCACTGCTCTAGAGGAGATCTGCATGGAGGAATGGGCCAAAATACCAGCAACAGTGTGTGAAAACCTTGTGAAGACTTACAGAAAACGTTTGACCTGTGTCATTGCCAACAAAGGGTATATAACAAAGTATTGAGCAACTTTTGTTATTGACCAAATACTTATTTTCCACCATAATTTGCAAATAAATACATTAAAAATCCTACAATGTGATTTTCTGGATTTTTTTTTTTCTCATTTTGTCTGTCATAGTTGATGTGTACCTATGATGAAAATGACAGGCCTCTCTCATCTTTTTAAGTGGGAGAACTTGCACAATTGGTGGCTGACTAAATACTTTTTTTCCCCACTGTATTTTTGTGGTGTCGTATAATACAGTATTTATTTTTCTACTCCTCACCTCATCCTGTACCTTCGTAGAATATGATGGAATATTACTTAGTGTCAATTTTTTGAGAAACAGATTTGTCTGAAGGGTTGGGAAAGGGCAGAGATCAAAACACACCCTTTTAGACAATACACACCTGTTGAAAGGCTGAAAACTGCAAAGTGCTCAGCCAAAGTGCTGCTTGGATATCACACACTGCAGCGAATACTGTATACACAGTTCCTTATGAAGAGCTCTGCCTCTTAATCAACATCTCTCTCTCTCTCTCTCTCTCTCTCTCGCCCCTACAGGACCTTGGAAAAGAACAAAAAGAAGAAGATATTTTAATAGTATTGCAGGAGAACCACCGTGTAACAATGTATTAGTTGCCAATTTACCGGCCTGGACCGTCAGTTTGCCTGTTGACCAACAACCTGTTACTGTGTGTATGTGTGAAGGAGCAACGTGGTCTGTCTGGGGGAAGTGGGTTCTAACTGGGGGAGAGAAAGAGGGTCCTCCATTAGATTCACTTTCAGACAGGCTCAGTCCTGGGACATGCTCCATCACTATATATTAGTTCTAATTTCTTTTACCTTTCTCTCTCTCTCTCCTCCCCAAAGACCTTTCTTATTCTTCCTGAAATGGGCATGTTAGATGGTTGTACAATCATGTTTTGTGGTTCACATTTCTCAAGCACACAGTCTCTCTCACACACACACACACACACACACACACACACACAGTCTCACACATACAGTCTCACACACAGAAAAACAAAACACACAGTTATCAGCTCTTTCATGATTTCGGAGAGGATTTTCATTTCTTTTTAAACCCCAGAATGCAACAAGACTGTTCTTTCTTTCTTTTTCTCTTTCTAGTTAGATAACCTTGGAGACAGACTGCACTGCTATGTTGTAGTGTTCTATTTAACGCCAAATGACCAAACGGTGAAGTAGGAAGCTACTCACCTCAAGCTACACACCTCAGGCGTTTGTTTTATAACGGTTTTGTTCTTTCAGTTATTTAGTCATCGCGTTTGTTTTTTGTTTTTTTTACCCTCATCCCAAAATGATATGCTCTTCCATCTCTTGTAATTTAAATGATCTAGCCATGGACCCCATTGTATAACTTCAGTCATGTTAGAATGTTTCATTTATTATTATTTTGTCTGTTTTATATTTTTGGTTCTCTATTATATTGGCCCTGCTACAGTAATCGTTTGTTCATTATTCGTTTCATGTTTGTTTGCAGGTGTTTCCCATTCTGATCTTGGAGGTCTACTGTGCATACAGGATTTCACTCCAGCTGACACACAGTAGGCCCCCTTGACCACGGCTAGGAAACCCTGTTTTAGAGGACTGTGGGGAGGAATGCATGGTTGTTGACCCAACCCGTTAACTATGGAGGACTAAAAGTGCCACAATTAAATAAATAAATACACCATTAAATAATTACTTAAATGTGTCATTAATTAATTAAAATTAGAATTAAATACATAAATGTGTTATTAAATGTGTCATTAATTAATTCAAATACCGATTCATTTTATGTAAAATACATATATAATAATTTCACTATTTACATTTACATTTCATGGTCCTGCGTTGGAGTGCTTCCTGAATTACTTAAAACTGTCAAACTGACCCATCAAAAGTTGGTAGGCGGAACCTAACGCCTGATTGGTTACCCTCTGCATCAAGCCAAGACAAATCAATTCCGGATAATGTCAGCAGGTCCTGCTTCTACATCCTCTGCTAAGTTTAAAATGTCTCTAACCAACTCCCTGGAAAGTTCACGGAGATCCTCCATTGTCTCTATCCAGGTTGGCCTACTCTACTTCAGACCAAAGCAATGGATCAGACTAGATTCGCGTTAGCCCCGCCCACTGACTTTGATGGGTCAGTTTGACAGTTTTAAGTAATTCATGAATCACTGCAATGCAGGATCATGAAATGTAAATGTAAATAGTGAAATAATTATATATGTATTTTACATAAAATGAATCGGTATTTGAATTAATTAATGATACATTTAATTACACATTTATGTATTTAATTCTAATTTGAATTAATTAATGACACATTTAAGTAATTATTTAATGGTGTATTTATTTATTTAATTGTGGCACTTTTAGTCCTCCATAGTTAACACAACCCTGTTATTGTTGTTACTTACAATTTCCATTGACTGTAAATAAACAAGTCTATATTGTCTGTAATAAACAACTATGGGGTTCCTTTCCCTTACATCACATTTAATTATGTTCATGTACTGCATCTCTGTATTTTTTATTTGTCTTTTGTTGTGTTTTTATAGTCACATAATAAACTTGTGATGATACAACCCAACGTGGTTTTATTGAAATCAACGTTTTTTGTTAAGATGGAAATGAAATACTGTGGTAGGACGTGGCTTAGCTCACCTTCGAGTCAAATTAAAAGCCATAAACTGTCTTCGGCGATTTGTCCTCCTCACCAAGATGCACGCTATATTTCACCAGCAGGGGGCAGTGAATAACTATGGACTCCGTCATATCCCATACAGCAGGGATCATCAACTAGATTCAGTTTAAGACGATTTGTTTTCTTGAGCAGATGGTCTGGGGGCCGGAACATAATTACAAATAATTTGTAGACTGTAAATTGACAACAAGACGCCCAAACAGATATATTTGACCAAAATATAATTATTATACACCCAAACGAGGGCATTGCGTTCATCCATCTCTGGCCCGCCGGCCCCCCTACCTCTGCGGAAGCACAGTTCCCGCTCAGCCCAGTCAAAACTGTTCGCTGCTCTGGCACCCCAATGGTGGAACAAGCTCCCTCACGACGCCAGGACAGCGGAGTCACTCACCACCTTCCGGAGACACTTGAAACCCCACCTCTTTAAGGAATACCTGGGATAGGATAAAGTAATCATTCTACCCCCCCCTTACCCCACCCCCCAATGTTTTTTTTTTTTAATAGTAAAGTGGTTATCCCACTGGCTATAAGGTGAATGCACAAATTTGTAAGTCGCTCTGGATAAGAGTGTCTGCTAAATGACGTAAATGTATTTCAAACCTTGCTTAAATGTTATACTATCACACATTTCTCTATTATGAGTGGGAATACCTGGGAACAGATTTCCAAACTTAAAATCACTTGGAGCTGATTTCCTGGGGTTTTACAGTCTTAGGTCCAACAATGAGAATTCTGCAATGAAAAAAATTGGGGGCCCAAATATAAGCACCTTGCCAGTTGGGGAACCCTGCCAAACAGTCATGGGTTATATCTCAGGAGTTTCCAGGCTATGATTGATCAGTCTTATCACAGGCTTTCTCTCTGTGCGCTTGA